TTCAAAGAACTCCTTCATATCTTTATGATCCAGCCGTCATTGTTCTTTTTTGTCTCGCTGCTTCTCTCTCTTCAAGTGCCGCGCTCGATTCTTAAGGACGTATTGCTGCTGTGGTGAATGGCCCAATTTTCACCCCGTCAAAATGACGGACGGCCTTAAATTTTCCCCGTCCACTCTTAAAAAAAATCCGTCAATGATGGAAAATTGTCCGTTAATGTAACCTCTTCAGAAACAGAAATATAATAGATGTAAATGTTTATCCAGTCTTGTTTAACTTAGATTTTGTTCCAAAAGACAGGCTTTGTTATCAGCAATCACCCCTCCTCCTCCCAAATAAAATATGAAATCAGGGGTTTGCTTCGGGCTCGGGCCTGCAAATCAAGTTAAGTGATCGGGCTCATGCACCCTTTGTGGCTCCCGTTCTCGCCGAAATTTCAAAATCTCAGAGATATGGCGAGGCCATGAGAATGCGAGACGAGGGTATTATCACTGTTGTGGCGACGCCACTCTAGCTTGTCCGCTGCTCTCTGTTGTGCGTGCGTCAGCGTGAACATTTACGCAAGCGCATCTTTTGATTTCAACCAATCAGCGCTGACGCAACAACGTCACACACCCGACGTCACACACGACAACAGCTAAACTAAGGTAGCCAAGACGACACTCGAAGTTGGACGGGCACGTTTTTCTGCCAATCTGTGGGTTTCACTTTTTGTCCAAATGTATTTTTCACGACAACTGTCTTGTCCACGGTGTCTTTTGTTCGTTCCACTGGGGTTTAGCAAGTGTGTTTATAAAGAGACGAAAATCTCTTTACTGTTACTAGTGTTAGTGTTTCAACACGGCTACGCTCGTGAAAGCAAAACAACAAACTCAAACGCGTCTTCGTTCAATGTTGTCAACTAATATCCGGATTAATTTTCGGCAAATTTTCCTCAATTCTCCAGAAAGATTTTCATAAAAATTTGAAAAACCCGGAATTCCGGGAAAATCCGGAGGACTTTCATCTCTGCTTATTTACATCCATTAGGCCACAAATATAGTGGTTTGACCCAATCAACTTAACACTCAGTGTCCCTTTAACAGTTATCCCAAACTTCTTGTTGAAAGTTCATTCAGCCATTTACAACAGTAAATAAGTGGTTCATGAAGGATGTGCAAATCTCAATTTTAACCTTTTCTTGACCCCTTAATGAGGGCACCATTATTCGGTAAAGTGGTGATTAATTTCCTCCAGGATAATGTCGTCTTCAGGCCAGAGTGAAAAACAAGTGTCAAACACCGCGCGGTGGAAGATTATCCCTTGTGCACGGAGACTCACATATTTCACATTTGAGTCCAAATGCTTTTGGGATTTTGTTGATCCGCACCAGGGGAGTGTCACCGATCCTGTGCAAAATGTTCGGAAGAATGGCAGGCGCCGGCGTTCTGTCAGCATAAAAATAATAAGCGTAGGTGTGTCAGCAAATACACATGCATGCCAAAAATGATCATTCAACTGGCAAGGGCTGTTCTGTCACGCCATTTCGTTTGATCGAAGCATTTTCTTCTAAACTACGGTAAATGAGAATTTTTTTTTCCCACTCACCGTGGGATTTGAGCGTGAGGAGATTCTGCCTGTGAGGCCCCAAGGCTCCACTTGCAGCGGCTAGGGAGGTCCGGGCGGATCCATTTCCTCTGAATGCCAACGTTCGGCTCTGCCTTATCCTCCGCCGTCGGCGCACTGTCAAGCCCCTTAAGCGGGAGCAAAGCCTCATGTCGTTTTAATTCACCGTTGGTTTGGTGAAGTAGCTTGGCGGTGTGGGGGCATTTGGGGCTTTGGAGAGGGGCCTCTTTGGACATGGGAACTGACGGCATGGCTTGCTTTGGAAGAACCAGAAAAAAGAAAATTAAAAAAAAAAACATTAGATTAAAATGCCATGTTCAAGAAATTTTGCCTTTCAAAGATCCAGGCAAAATAAGAGACATTTCGAGCAACTTTTTAAATAGCCCATTTGAGGAAGGACGTAGACCATGCACTTCTCATTTGGGAGTATTGAGCAATAGTTGGAACACCCCCAGCAGCTCAATAAAAAAAGCACATTGAAATGATTTTTCAACCATTCATGTCCAGTCACGCCAACAATGATTAATCCCAGGCTGTTTTTTTTTACACTGCACATACTCTTTGTTAATGTTATTGTTTATTTTCTCAGCACATATTTGCTTTTTAGACACATTCATTTAATGAGAGAGGGGACATATTATGGAAAACAACTTTTTTAATTCTCTATGCACAAAGAGTTGGATCTAGAGACAATCCTCCCAAGCATCCAAGTATTAAAATAAACATTTTTTTTTGTCATTTGCCTATTAGATAGAGCATAACATGGAATTCCACTCCTGTTCCACCCCACTCCCACAGAACGCTGTAATTCTTCATCTTGGGGTGTTTTGACAAGGCCGTGTCTCCAAAATGCTGGTTTGTTTTAAATTATGCAGAAATATGTCTCCCTAAGGGAGTTAGTGACTCATTAGATAAATTGCAGTCACGCTGGCTCTTCTAGCTAATATTGGCTCAGTCTATTTGATTTCAAGAACAAAAAGCCATCCAGTTCTGAACAAACAGCTGCTTGTTTAAATTTTTTTTTTTTAAAGATGGCGCCCCCCGAGTGGCTGCCTCTCCAGCAGCGCATATTGCAAATTTCCCCAGTGTGGGACAAATAAAGGTTATCTTATCTGTTGTTATAATTCAAGTTAAAACTACTTTTTTAAAAGAATAATTTTAAATGGATATTATGAATAGAGCAAAATGTTGTGCCACCTGCATTCTTAAACGAATGAATGATTTTTTTTCCCTTGCCTAATGATATTAAATGCTTTGCCTTATTAACACTTGCAAGCATCCTTCCTTTTTAACATATGGTTGTGCTCGTAAATGTACACACCTTGGCCGAATTTGGGAAATACTGGAAAGTGAGGGGGGATATTACACATGAATTGGGAATTTCTCCATTGCGAGAAAAATAAAGGATTTCTTAACTTATCTTAACCATCTAATTATTTACTTGCTCATTGCTATGTTTTGTTTAGTTGTTGTTAGTTGTGCTATTTTGAAATTCCATACACTTTACTTTGAATCCAAGTTCAAAACTACCGGTAATGTGTTTTACCTTATCACACACTATCTTTCAAAGAATAGCGTGCATGTTACAAGCTCTGCAAAGGTATGTAAATTTATGAGCATAAAACGGCATAATCATCATAATTCTAAGAAACAGATATCATTCAGGGCGGTCCGGTGGGTGACTCATGGTTAGCACATCCGCCTCACCGGCTCCAGCCTTCCAGTGTGGAGTTTGCATGTTCTACCCGTGCCTGCGTGGGTTTTCTCCAGGTTTTCCGGTTTCCTCCCCCATTCCAAAAACATGCGTGGCAGTTTAATGGAACACTCTAAATTGTCCCTAGGTGTGAGCGCGAATGGTTGTTTGTCTCAGTGTGCCCTGCGATCGGTTGGCACTCAGTTTTGGGTGAACCCCGCCTACTGCACAAAGACTGATGGGATAGGCTCCAGCACGCCCCTAGTGAGGATCAGAAAAAAAAAAAAAGATGTCATTCAGTTGCTAATTTCAGTAGCATGACACGGGGGAACTTTATCTGCTGTGCTGGGAACTACTAGATATAGCACCCAGTTTCACAGTTATCACGTGTAGATTTTAACAGCGATCATTGTTTGTTTGTTGAACATATAAACAGATAATAGACATTTTGTCAGGAAGTAAAGGGAGGTATTTTTTTTTAAAAGCTGAAGAAAAAAACAAATAGTCATCATTCAGCACAATTTACATGTTCAAAGGAAGTAGGAAGAAGTAACAAACTTATCTAGCCCTACCCCTTGTTCTTTGTGAGTTTTAATGATCATTCATTGAGTATATCTCACTCTGAAAAGAAAAGGAATAAAGTCAACATGTAGACGTACTCAAGTATACAAATGCATTTACACTTATGCGAGCTGTACTATATATATATATATATATATATGCCTCCAACTTTTGGTTTGTGGGGGTCTACTTAGGCACACACACTGGCACATTTATATACTGTATATGTCACTTTTCTCTCATACTCATAATCAATATTGCACTGCATTACAGCATTTAATAAATGTACTCACTTAAATCTAATGGACAAGTTTTTGGTACTTTACTTTTGAACTTGTTTTTCAACACAGCAAGCGAGTCACACATTTTCAAAATTATTCCATAAATTAACACCTATTACAGAAACACAGCTTTGCTTAATTTTTGCCCTTGTGGATTTTTTTGTAGGTTTGTACCCCTTAAATCATAGCAACTCTCACGAATTTCTTTCGAACTTTGATTTTTGTAAGTTTAGTGATAACTTATTTATGTCGAACCATTTTTTTATATGTTTAATTCTTGTTCCACAGTTGTCAGAAGCTATTTCTAACTTTCCCCACAGTCGTAGAAAGTTGCGTCATTGGAAAACACGACACATTTAAATTGTTTTTAGACACAGCAAATATCATTTACATACAATATGAATAAAAGTATTGTGGTCAGCCTATTCAAAGGTTTTGAAGTCCATATTTTTATCATCTATTTTGAATGACTACAATTTCAAATTAAATGCTCCAAAGAGGATACATCTGATTTATATTTGTGGTATCCGTAACTTTTATATGGAGGTCGTTTATTGTTAGTTTTCTGTGGCATAATCAGATTTTCAAACACCAACAATTTACGGGAAGGTCATTCTCAATTGAAAAAAGAAAAAAGCCCTGGCTGCGCTGTCAGCAGAAAGCACAACGCAGCAAACCCAGACAAGACATAACAAATGGGATAACCGTGAATAGCAGGAATGCAGACCGAAGAAACACAACGTGACAAATGAAAACACGCAACAAGACCTCAACGTGTTTGAAAGTGCGTCAGTAAACGAGACGCTGCTAGTGTTGCAATCTTGCATCAGAACAAAGCACATTTCTAATTTAAAACCTCGCCACTCTACTTACTATCACTCTTTCCGCAAAAGTAAGAACAGTAAATTATACACGTTATGCTAAAATATCCCTTTTTTGCCAAATTATCAACCGAGACATTTAAAAAGAACACGTTGGTGGAGTTGCGTCAGCTTCCGCGGAGGTACAGGTCACGGCTAAAGCGCCATCATTTAGCATAATTACGCTTCAATCCACGCTAGCGCGATTGCTCGATATTCACTCACCTATTAATAATTCAAACGTGGTCGCAAAAAAAAAAAACTGGACAAAGAGTCGAGACAAGCGCAGCTGACTGGAGATGCTGTGCCAGGACTGCGCAGTTAGAAACGTCCGTTCCGCAGCTTCCGTGTTGAACCGTGCAGACTTGATGCGCACACTTTGGGATATCGTCAAAAGGCTCGCTGATTGGTTGTGGTGAGGGCGTCTGCCTGAGCTTCTTCACGAATCACGAACGGAGATTTCTCCTCACCGGGTTGGCTCACGCAGTCCCCGCCCTCTGTTTATGATTTATTTACCGACCTGACGTGGATCCCAATCGAATGACTTTTAGAAAGATTGCAGGTGCACAAGAGCTAAAAACAAATAAACAAGGAAAGAAGTAACGGTGAAAATTGTGGAAACCATTTCCATTGCAGAAAAAAAGAAAGAGTTAAGAGCTGCCTCGTCCGTTGACATTTTCAAAAAGCTGTTCCAGTCGAGGGTGATTGGGATCGGCCGAAACCCGGCGAGCATATATAAATGTGCTGAACAGCGAGCATGCGGGTCCTCTGTAATTTGAAAAGTATTTTGGCAGGCATTCCAGACGGACTTGTTTTCATTTTTTTGATGTCATCGCTGATTCGCCATATAAACACTGCACAAACCGTTCGTGATACTATTTGTCACGAGTACATTTTATGGTTGAACCTGAAGTGCACTACAACAGGTACATTTAATATGATCTTCTGGAAACGTTTTAACGGACATGTCCAAGTGTTCCACGTGTCAGTACTTTTTGCACAACTCGCTGTTGTCTGACAGGGAGCTGAACGCAAAATTCCAGAGGCGTTTGATTCGTGAAGATTTCTATGCTTTTCTGCAACGTTGCCAGCCTCACTGTTGCATCCTGCTGATGACACAAAGTTCCGTGTCCTCATTCCTCAGAGAACACCCTGTTAACTTGGTCTCATGATGCCTAAATGTGAACAGCATGATGAAGAAAAAACTTTCAATACCAGTTTTGATTATCCCCAACTTTTGATGTGGTGTTTATTTCAACTGATATTAACTGTATGTGTGTGGATTTATTTTTTATTTGTAAATCACTGTGTCTAGTGATACATGAATAAAATCCCCTACTGGAGAATTACAAGCTTAAAACGATAATAGAAAAAAATGGTTCCTAAAATAAGTTTATAGATGGTCCAACAAAGAGGTATGCTGTATATTCTATGCCACTGTGACTGGGCCAATCACAAATTTGAGTGAAACTGCAGATATTCCAGGGCCATTTCTTCAAAAGACGAGATGCCTCCCTTCGACACACAGCACCCAGACGGGCATTTGGTTTTAATTATTTCCCACATGTATGAATGTAGCACACGTGCATCTCTTCAATCGCGTGGATTCTTAAAGGACTGAAGTGATATTTTCAGAGGTAAACAATGCAGAGTAACAAATCTGTTTTATTGACAAAGCAACCAGCTGTTCATAAAAAAGGGATCAAAGAAAAGCACGTTGATAATTCACCAAAAGTCTAAATAATTTTGTTTTCACTGTGAGGGTTTTGGTAGAGCGTTGTGTCTTCCGCCTTCAGAACCTTCCTGAGCGTTCTCTGTCTCTCGACCTCCGTCTTTCACGGTCCCGTCGCCGATCCTTAGAACGGGAGCGTCTGTCCCGGGAACGCGAGCGAGAACGTTGCCTGTTGGCAGAGAAAAAGCTAAATCAGTTGATAACAAACATGAGTAGTGAATCGAAGCAACTGATCTGCACAGCGTGAACAGATGTCTGCACCTTTTTCTACGGCGTCCGTACAACTCTCGCCGAAGTTCCCTTGATATCGGTTTCAGGTGCATGAAGTTGCAGAAGCCACCTCGGGTGCACTCTCTGGAAGACAGTTAGTATGTAAGCGCATTGTTTTCTGTGGTCCGGCGACTCCACATTTCAAATTGTTTTGGGAAATTGTGGACGTAGAATCCTCCGGGCCAAAGTGGAAAAGAACCATCCGGACTGCTATGGAAGCAACATTCAAAAGCCAGCATCTGTGATGGTTTGGGGCTGTGTTAGTGCCAGCGGCATTGGGTAACTTTCACATCTGTGGAGGCACCATTAATGCTGAAAGGTACATACAGGTTCTGGACAAACATGTTGCCATCCAAGCAAGGTCTTTTTCATGGACACCCCTGCTTACTTCAGCAAGACAATGCCAAACCACATTCTGCACGTTACAACAGCGTGGCTTCATAGTAAAAGAGTACAGGTACTAGACTGGCCTGACTGCAGTCCAGACCTGTCACCCATTGAAAATGTATGTGCAGTATGAAGCCTAAAATATAACAATGGAGACCTTGGACTGTACATCAAGCAGGAATGGGGAAAGAATTCCATCTACAAAGCTTCAACAATTAGTGTCTTCAATTTCCAAACGGTAATTGAATGTTGTTGAAAGAAACGGTTGTCTCTGCTTTTTTGGAACGTGTTGCAGCCATAAAATTTTAAGTTAATGATTATCTGCTGAAAACAAAATTGATCAGTTTGAACATTAAATATCATGTCTATGTAATGTATTCAATTATATATTGGTTGTACAGGATTTGCAAATCTTTGTATTCTGTTTTTGGTTAACAACGTCCCAACTTAATTGGAATTGGGCTTGTATAAAATTCATAACTAAAAGAGAGTGTCATACCTAGATTTTCTTCAAAAGTCAAGTTGAAATGCATTGCATGTGTTTCTTTTGACCGATTATGCATGTTCTCGGCTAAAATAAGAGGACACATTTTTCTGTTCATAATCCAAGCGCAAGTTCCTGATTGTGGTTACTCACCCCATTTCATATTGGCGGCAACAAGCTTCCCTGAAGTCAGTGACAGGGGAGAGCTCAGCGTGGACGGGCTGGGCGTTGAACCAGCGGTTGTTCAAGTCCATGACAGCTTTTTCCGCGTCCTCTTCACGACGGAACTGCATACAAAAAAATTGGGAGAGGAAAGTGGTGGCTGTTGACGTTCCATCAGGAAAACCGATCAATTTCGTCATTCAAAAAGTACCTTGACGTAAACGTTGCCGACAAGATGGTCACCCAAGTTGTCACAAACGTTCATCTCTTCCACTTCCCCGTACTTCTCCTCCATCTCTGTGAAGACCTCCTGCACAAACACAACTTGAGTTTCTTACCCACCATTCTTTTCGGCAGCAACATTTAAAGCAACAGGACACACCACATGGAGACGCCTGCGTTTCACGCCCAAGACTTTCAAGATGATGTTACATTCAAAGCAAAAGGAAAAGTGTGGTCTCACACCTGTATATCACCCTATCCAAAACCAGTAATAGGTTACAAGATAGGTATGTTACAAAAAAAAGTCAACCTACCTATTCATCGAAACTGAGCATATAACATTGAATAGAGATTTGTGACCTAAATAAAACTAGCCCTAGCCGTTTTATAATATCTAAACTTTGAACAAGTGGAGAGTGACATGACTGGTGCTTTTCAACACAAAATGTGAGTATAAGGGTGTTTGAAAAGGTAAAGTAAATGTTGAATAAAGTTATTCATAATTACAGCAAGTGTTGTGATGCTGAACTTGGGAACAAAATTGTGGAATAATAAATAATAAATTGCTTCTCGTGCTAGCTAGCAACTCAATCAGCTATGAGCTTCGGTATACGCTTGCTCCATGTAACACAAGCTCTTAATATGTTAGCATTACTGTTTGTGTTGTTTGCCTGAGCTTTTTTTCCCCTGGGCATCCCGGAACACGTGAGTAACTCAAAAATATCCCGAATATGCCGTCCCACTGAGATCATCGTCAAAACAATTGTAGTTCTCCTTTCAGTTGACGATGGCCCAAGCGGGGCTCGCCGTTTTCTCCCTTGTTTAAACACTAGCTTTCTCTACTAAATAAAGATGAACATCGGGCCACTTTGTAACATCTCCCTCGCACGCTGTCATGCCATAACGATCGGAACGTTGCTTTCCATCTGGCAACGTTAGTTTGTAAAAGTAATTTCCGCGATCTTTTACAGTTAGTCGGCTTATGTGCATATTCATGAACCCCGCCGCTCTTTCTGCGCCAATAATGTCCGCGCATTCTGCTTACGTCATCTATATTGACAAACTGAAAATGGGTCTGTTGGCAAGCTCGTGAAATTCAAAAGTTAATGAAATCATTATTTCCACCCACTCTATGTCCAAGTAGTTGTGACAAACGCAAATATATCTCATTGACATGTCACACAGGAAAAAGGAACGATAGAAGAGGTCACTCACCTCGAAGAACTCATCATAGTGCTCCTGCATTTCCACATCACTTACGGCACCTGCAGTGACAAGGCCGCATTGTCAAGAACCTCAACTTAGGTCATTTTGCGCTTCCTGGACGAGATGAAATTATAACAACAGTCTCATGTGTGTGCGTGTGTGTGCGTGTGCGGGTGTGTGTGTGTATTCTGGCAGGACAAGTTTTGATTACGTGCAGAACGTCACGGTCAAGTTCTTGATGCACTTGACTCACTACAAACAAGAATCTGGGGTCAGCGACCCGCTTCTGTGGATCGGACATTGTGTGCTTAGTGTCGGATGAGTGCAGAGCCAACAGACTCAGACAAATAGGCCTTCATACGTAGAGTCTGAAAGATGAAGTCGTGGTTAATCCAAGAAGGGTTCAATCGTGGCTAGTAATGGGCCCTTAAACCCGAGAAATCAACCCTCCTTGGATGTTAAATAAATTCAGCATCAGGAAAAAAAAAAATATTGAACGTCTCAAGATGCTTTGTGCAACCACTCACCGCACTGTCTGTCACTACTAGTTTTTAGACGGGAAACTGCACGTGGCTCCTTAATTTCAAATCCAGCCAAATTTATACAGAAACTGTGCAGTAACGTAAGTGCAGTCAGTGCTGGAGGGTCCCAGGGATGAAGAAGAACTTACAGTGCAAACCATCAGCAGACTTGGGCACAGTTTTCAAGGTTATGAAGGTAAATGTTCAAGGGGGAAATGGTCTGAAATACAAAACGTAAACTTCTGTGACACACAACAACGAAAAATGAGGAGCTGGGGAGGGAAAACATGTTGTTAGAATCCGCAGGATATCGCATCATATTGAATAGCTCAAAAAGAGCTTCGCGCGTATGTGCCCTAAAACTTTCAAAGCCATAGGTTGCACGTTCCAAAACTTGATTTTCCTGTCTTGAGCGAAGATTAGAGATCACAACGCTAAAAGCTCCTTGTGGCTGAGCACAGAAAAACAGCACAGAGATGCCCTTTTTTTCTGTGCCCAGGTCATTCTCATCCGAATGTTGATAAAGCAAAACTTTTAACCAGCTCATTTCTAGAGCCCTTACAAAAAGGCAACAACTGAAACAAAGTGCTGCACATAAAATAAAATAAAAAAAATCAAACATGAAACAATTATTTAAAAAAAAAAAGCTGTCTCATATTCAAAAACTGCTGTGGTGTTTTATTTGTGGGAGAGTGGACACAACGCTCAATTTAAAATCTTAAATACGATTGCGTAAATGAATGTGTTTCTGCAGCTTTATAGCAAAACTGAACTTTCATTCAAATAAAACGCCATATTTTGTTTATGATATCACTGGAACTAGATAAGCGCTGTGACCGCATGCTCAGCAAAGTGCACCTCATGCAGATATAGTCTGTTTCTAATTCGGGGAGGAGGACGTGAAGTTCGGTGCAAAAATCAAACAGGTCTTAAGTCACATGTCCAGTTTACTGTTTAACAAGCCAGCCTGTGAGTGGTGTACTCTTCCCCACCAAATGTTTGCTCTGGGCGTTGCTCCAAGAGCCAACGTGTTGATGTTTATGTTCTCGGGTGTTGTATAGCAGGCAGCTGTTTCGCAAAGCGCAACGCAGCAGAACTGCAAGCGACACCCCACGTGCGGCTGCCACGTTAATTCATCACAGGGAGTGCGGGGGATACTTACAACGTGACGCGTCGGCTGTCTGTGCGCTGTTCTGCGGGTTACGGTAGATGTTTTGTATCAAAATGGTCTGCAGAAAGAATGAACGATTTGAAAGGAAATCAAATCAGCACCGGATAACAATTGTGCAGCAATGCCATCCTCACCTGGCTGAAGGTCGGTTTGTTGTGCAATCTTGAACAGCGATCTCCATGTCTGCAAGCTCCAATTTTAAAATAGAAGGAACAATTGACCCTGGAAGGAGTGAAGGACTAAAATGAACATAAGTTGTTGGTGGTGGACCTGGCAGAATAAAAATGGCCTCACAACTTGGTCACTTGCTGTTCAACAGCTTTTAGAGATTGCACATTATGTTCTTCTTCCCAGCTATTCTTGATAAAGGATGGACCTCAGGTCACAAAACACCTCCTTTTTGCGGTTTCATTTCAAGTCTCACAAGACGGACATTAGGCCTTTGTCATTTAACAGCTGAAGCTTTGCAGCTTTTGTAAGCACGAGCCATACTGACTTGAGGGTTTTCAAAGGCTTCAAGGAGAAGATAATGATGCATCAACAACTTGAAGTCGGTACAAGTAAAGCCATATCACTCAATTTCATTTTCCAAAGCATCTGCTGAATCAGACTTTAGTCCATGATGAGTCCTTTCCGTGGCCTTGCGCAAAGGCCTGCTCTAGAAGTTTGGGGTTTTCAACAGTGGTGGTAGTAGCAGGCCAACCACTAACCACTGCGTGGTTGGTCAAGAACAGATCTCATTTTGAGAAACTTTCCATGAATAGAGTGAAGTGGAGCACACGGAGCAGTGTCCAATGTCAGATGGTGAACTACAGGTAAATGAAATTATATGCTCACAAAATACACAACGCTTACGGCGGCAAGCATTGATGGCTGCACAGATGTCTGAACCATAGCTGAAATGACATAGGCTGGGGGAAGAAAAAAAACTGTGACTTTTGGAGCACCCTGTATTTTGGGTTTTGCTTAAGTCTTCTCCTGGTTTGATTAGTGCATTCTTTCTTTCTCTTTCAGAGCTGACTTGTTATTCATCCATCCATCCATTTTCTGATCCTTACTTTGAACCTTGAAATATGACCGCCACCTGAACCTTATGATGTGACCTCGACTTGAACTGTCTTAGCAACGAAAAATTATGTTAACATCTTTTGCAGAAATAGACCAGACAACGCTGTAAGTGCATCTTTTGGCTAGCTTGCAGGTTTCGCGCTTGTAGCTGTGTTCCAACCAAAAGTAGAGGCCCTGTGAATAAATTGGGTTTTCGTGGAAGCCAGCATTAAGATGACTTCTGAGAAAAGCTAAAAATGTTGCAACATTAAAGCACTGCCATTATGTTTTATGTTTTTCGAAAACAAAATTATTTGATGATTCCATTAAGAAATGAAAAGAAGCCAAGAACATTAGAGCAGTCATCCTGAAACAGAAAGGATGATATGCATTAGGAGTTATGCCCCGCTTAGGATAAGACTTACACCGTAAGATAAGATAAGACCGTATAAGACTTGTATAGAGACGTTGCCCTTGCGCATTTGTGCCTTGACCACAACGATTGCTTGTGTCATCACACTTGTGCCCTGAACGTTCAGTAAAGCCTCTTGCAAGAACTTCTCCATTTCCAGCCTCTGACTTCGCACCTCACCTCAGCCCGAATCAAACGAACACGCGGAGGACGGTGAAAGGATCCCGCCGAGTCCACAACAACCTCTCCCTCCCCCGCCTCCAACAATGGATTATCATTATTGGCTACCGTTTCATTTCGTGGGAACACTTTTGTCAAATCATGAATACTATTTCCCATAATTTATGTTCACAACATAATAAACAGCATAAACAACAAAATGACTCAAAAAGAGCATAAAACTGCACTCTTTGGAATAAAATATTTGAGGCGGCGTTAGATTTTAGAAAAGATAAAATTGATGGGTTTTTTTTCTGTTCTCCCGGCTTTCGTTAACTTCATTTTGTTCATCTGATTATAATCGCAATGATTGTAATCATCTTTTTTCACTAAATGACTATCAGTCACTCAGATTGAGTGAATACATCATTATGCAGGTATCATGAAGGGAACGAATTGAATTCAAATGCTGGGAGAATTGGTGCAACGGAAGGCTTTTGCTGCTCGTCTGCAGCGAATTGAAACGAAACAATCCCGCCAATTTAGGTATCAACTTCATTAGCGATTACAAACAAAGCTGCAAGTAAACACTTGGCCAACTACAAGAACATGTGCACTTATGAGTTTTTTTCCTAAAAGACTGTTAAGCGCCTTGCAGCTTCAGATTTGCAGACGTGATTTCCTGTTTCATTCATTGAGCTAGCTGAGCTCGTTAGCTCTTCTTGCTAATATCAGTTTAACTATCCCCTTTATTACAAGCCTATGCCATCAACTGAGCCACCACTCGGTCGCGGAAACTCCACCGGTAGTTTCTCAGTCAACAGTCTTTCTCGCTTGATTAAACAAAATAGTCTAGAAAACTTACTTGTCTTTTTCTGTGCCGAAAATGGACGCCAGATACTCCGCCATTTTCGGCTCGTCGGGGGCGTAAGTAACACGTAATTACGTAAGAAATGACGTCAGGACGTATGGAACAGCCGTTTACTCAAGACTGGCATTTTCCAATAACATCTTTAACCACACGGAGGCGCTGTTCTTCAAAAATACCATGCACCGTGTTAGGATAGTTTGATGTGGTTAATTTGTGTTCGGGCGTGATATACGGTACTAAGTCAGGTTGTGCGGAACATGAGAACACAAAAAAATGTTTTGTTGTCTTAGTCTGTTTGGAAACTGCAGCTTTTGCAGAAGCCCAGCCACCAATTTACAAGTACTTCCACTTCTCATTTGCACAGACAGAACAGACAGAGGAAGTTGTACTTCTGTTTGTGTATGCAAACGATCGTGGGACTGAAGCCAGTTTCATTTTGAAGTGACTGCAAGGAGATGTGGAGTATCATCCTCAATGATGAACCACTCATGGAGTGTGCTATTGGAGTCTATCTTGGCAGTGCTGCATCTCACTTCAAGTGTTATCTGTAAGTTTCTTTTCTATGAGAATTATTATTTTTTAAAATATTTTTTATGTTTATTTTTTTTTTTTGTGGAAGGACCCCCAGAAAAGTCAGTATGAATTCTCACTCTTTCAAACTTTGTTAGGTGTACGTGTGATGTGTGATAGAGTCTTGGTGGTTTTAACTTTATACACTCAAACGGTGGATAAATAAAACGATTATGTGATTGACAGGCATCATGGTAGAATAGTGGTTAACACGTCTGCCTCCCCGTCAACTTCAAGGGTCAAATCAGGCCCTCATTTGTGGAATTTGGACCTATCGTCACTGTATGCCTGGGAAGAAGCCTGCACGATTGCTGTATGGACTTCTGAAACTGCATATTTCCATTCACTATTTTGTGCGTCTGAAGCAAAATGTTACTGCTACCGTCTTATAAATCTATCCATTCATCCATTATCCGAGCCGCTTATCCTCACAAGGATCGCAGGCGTGCTGGAGCCTTTCCCAGCTGTCTTCGAGCAGCAGGTGGGGTACACCCTGAATTGGTCGCCAGTCAATCGCAGGATGCACATAGACAAACAACCATTCACACTCACAATTTAATATTCCATTAACTTACCATACATGTTTTTGGAATGTGGGAGGAAACCGGAGAAAACCCACTCAGGTACGGGGAGAACATGTAAGCTCGACACAGGAAGGCCCTGCACCTTTGCACTGTGAGGTGGACATGCTAACCAGACAACCACTGTGCGGCCCTTATAAATCAATCTGAGTGATAATTCACATTTTTCTCGTCCCTTCTGTCCAGATGGTGAAGGCTGCCTGGAAATCATGGTGGGGCACACAAGTAATTACACAACTTCACTTGGGAAAAACCTCCAAATTAATTGCACATATTACTATAGTAACTGCACTAAACAATCGGCCTACAATGTCTTCTGGTATAAGTTGCAAGGAGACGTTTACGTGCGAGTGACCCCTGACATTCATACTAAAATGAAGTCGAAAAATTTAAGCAACGGGAAAACGATGATGTCATTATGCTTCACAAATATACAAAAAAGCAATGCAGGTATCTATCGGTGTCAAAATGGACTCACCGTCGGACACAACATCCAAGTGTCTGTGTATGGTATGTCTTTACATCGTCATGAATTGTGATTAGTTTTTGAGGCTGTTCTAACATTGCATCCAACCTTTGTTTTTTGTTTTTTTTTTCAGATAGCAACATGAGGACCAGCACCTCACTTAGAAATGAAAGCAGTAAGATAGTTTTTTTGGCAGCTAATTCTGCACGTATTTCAACATGATTATTTTATTCAGACACTAGCCTCAAATGATGTTTTGTTACACTTCGATTGGATTGCACATTTCTTCGAAAAATAAAGTGCATCTTTATGTTTGCAGGTTTGCCAGAGGAAGTTCGATGGATGTACTTGTACTCTGCCGTAGGCACAATGGCATTCGTCATCATCGTGATATTTATATCAGTCATGTTGTTGCAACGGTGCAAAGGTGAGGAGCTTTCAACCAACCATTATTTTTTTTAATGCCAATACATACATGACTATGGAGAAAGCACCAGGTACTATATATATTCAACTGTTATAGAACAAGAAACTCGAAGGCACATGTGGTTGTTTGATGCATGAATGGCAAATACATTTCCTGGTGGATTTGAATCGTTCACATCGCAGTTCATATTGTGACCTCACGAGACCAAGAACACATTTGATAACTGCTTCAAACAGGATGTTGTTGAGCGAAAGTGGTCACTGAGCTCACAGTGTCATCGAGAAAGAGACGAGAGAAGACTCACAGAAGGGCATAGAAGTGATGCGGACATGAGGGCTCTATCTCGTAATATGTGAATGGATAATATGTATATACATACATCTATAATAAAATGTCATGTTACAATATATTCAAGTTGATCAAATTAAGTACGTTTGTTGAGAGCAGTCAGTTGTAGAGTATTTAGCTTCAAATTACAATTAGGGATGGAGGAAATCAGAGGTGATCATGTAATTTTCAGCTAATCCTGTATAAGCGAAAAAGATGAGTTGTGGTCATTTTCTGAACATTTCCTTTAAAAGTCACAGAATAAAACACAATAATCCTAACGTGCAAATATCTTCCCAAATGGAACAGTTAGTTTTTACATCATGTTATGCTTCTCTCGATGCTTTTTTAAGTAGCGATGCTGTGACAATAACTGAACCACACACACACACACACACACACACACACACACACACACACACACATATGCCTCGGTCCGCACAAGGAGAC